CCCAGCTTTCCACAGTGGAAGCAATTCTGACCTCCTTTATTACCTTTGGGTGGCACTGTATATGAGTAAGACTTCCTTTTCCTGACACAGGCCCTAATCTGGCAGCAATAACTGCCCCAATAATTTTGGCCATTCTCTGGTCTTTTCTCTTCCCTCTAGATCCCAGTTGTTAAAAGAGGGAAAAATTTAAGCCAATGTATAACAAATAATTTTGAACATTATAATCATTTAAGCTTAAGGCTAGAAGTATTATCAATATCATCATTTCCAATCCAGAGATACATGTTCCAATGCAGTACCTATATTCCATAAATGGTTTTGGTAAGAGGAATGTTGTAGATGTGGATACATTTCTACTATTCATCCTCCATGCCACGATATAGTTTTATTAGTTTGAGCAGTTATAAATCCATTGCCATCCTTACTCTAACTTACTTCTTTTTTTTAAATTTAAATTTGTTATTAATTTCAGTGAAAATTTACAGAGGCTTTGGATTTCCATTTATTCATTGTTGTAGATTCCTCCACCCTTCTGAGCATGATATCCTTCTCCAAGGATCAGTCCCTCCTTGTGATATGCCCGAAGTATGTGATACAAAGCTTCAAAATCCTTGCCTACAAATAGAGACTTGGTTTTACACTCTCCAAGGCAGGCTTATTTGTTTACTTGGCAGATCATGCCATGTTCAAGACTCTTCTCCAGCACTACAACTCAAAGGAATCAATTCTTCCTCTATCATCCTTACTCATTGTCCAGTTCTCTGATTCACAGCAAGGAATTACAAAGACCATGGCCTGGATCAGGTGCTCCTTAGTCTCTAGACTAACATTGTTGCTTCTCAGTACTCTGGAGAGGTCCCTGACAGCAGATTTACCTAATGCAATTCATCTTTTGATTTCCTGACTGCTGGTGCCAAGAGTGTTGATTGTAGAGCCAACTATGCTGTAACTGTTAACAACCTCAATCTCTTCTTCATCCATCATGGTGCTGCCAATGGTGAGAATGGTGAGAATCTTTATCTTCTTAATGTTGAGCTTCAATCCATGTTGAAGGCTACAGTCCTTGACCTTCTGCAGCAAGTACTTTGGGTCCTCCTGAGTTTCAGCAAGCAAAAAGTAGGTAAATTATCCAAATATTGTAACTACAGGGATTTGAAGCTAAAAGACTTGCATTAAGTTTTCATGCCAGGATTAGAGCCACACTCTTAATGTTGTTTAATTCAACATGGCTAAGGGCACAGTTTAAACCCTTTCTGAATCTGAATCTTAACTCTGCTTTTCTAAGTCAACCAACCTTGGGAAAACTAAGTTGTCTAAACCTCAGTTTCATCATCTAAAGATGAGTATAATAATTGAAAAGACCTCACAAGATTATTAAAAGGAATTGGTAAGTTAACTTAAGGGGAGAGAAAAAAAAAAGTACTTCACATGGTACAGAGAATATGGCAAATTCTCAGTGAGTGTCAACTCGAGCTTTGCTCACCTAAAATGCATCCATTTTCTTAAAGCCATATAGCATCTGAGCCCAAAGATTGGGTGAGGGAAGGGGGACCATTTTAACCTTTTAATTTTTCTTTCAAGGTTGAACGTAACTATTCTGTCTACAACTTCTATTTCTGCTTATCTGTTACCCCTGGATAAGCTGGATAAGTCCTTTTGGATAATTTGATCTTTTTGGATAATCTTTCTTTTCCTCTTCCCATTCATACTCACGCCATGCAGTCTTTTTCAAGCCATCTTTCTGCTGTCTTTGCAGCTGGGCTTAAATAAAAAATCCTTACCCCAGTTTTACTTACAGCAAAATGACAAGAAAGGATGTGAGGGCCTATGTGTCCTCAAAATGTGCCAGTCAAATTATGTGTGAGATGTCCTGTGTATTTATCTCAGCTCATGACCTAGAACCTGGCACAAAACTGGTTGTAAATAAATGTTAGGGAAGAGAAGAAGGGAGAATAGGACAGGAGGAAGGGAAAGAGGGGAAAATGGGAAGGAGGAAAGGAAGGAGGCTTGGGCCAAACAGTGTCTCAATAGGTCAGTCAGGAATTTAGCATCATTCTTTTGACATCATGTGGGGAAATGGTCTCCATTTTCAAAGCAACCTTGAATGTAGCTGTAGCATCAGCAGAATACATATCATACTTGGAAATATTTGAAAGTTACTCCACACATAGGTACCTTCCTCTTCTCGCTTACTAAACATCCAATTCTCTAAAATGTCTTGCACACATTCTCTTTAAACATCATGGCAATACCCTAAAGAAGCAATTGCTGTTGTTGTTATTGTTGTTGTTGTTGTTCTTGTTGTTGTTATGTACCATCATGTCAGAAACAACCCATAGCTGCCCCTCCAGTGGTTTTTCAGAGGCAGTTAGTGGCATGGGAGGAGACTGCCCCTCTTTCTCCTGCAGAGTGACTGGTGGCCTTGAACCGCTTTTGGGATTGCAGTGCAGCTTCTTGCCACTAGGCCACCAGAGCTCTAGTAACTTCAATTTGTAGATGGAAAAAAAAACCCATCAAAACCAGTTAGATCTGGAGGTTAAATACTTTGTCCAACATTATGAAGCAAGAAAATGCAAAGCCTGGTCTATTTCCATTCTAAACCCATGGAATTTACTCCAAAGTTTGCATTCAGTCAGTGTGTCTTGATTGACCTTTGCATTCAGTCAGTGTGCCTTGACTAACCCACCACTTGCTGATGAAATAGATAAATAAAGCTGTTCCATGTCCCCAGAGACCTTCCATCTCCTTTGCTATGCCAGGCTGTGCCTCAAAGCATCTTGGACCACCCATCCTTCTACGACCAAGGGATTAGCCTTGACCCAATGGCAGACTTGTAGTCATGGCCACTGCCCAAGTCTACTTTGCCTGGTCCGGAGTGATTACTCAGTATACTATAATGTCATTACAGCTTTGTGCCTTGCTTTTGTTTTTATCGTCAATAAAATAGCAACAACAGTTGCCATAAAGTCAACCCAACTCATAATGACTTCAATTGGGCTGTTATTCACAGTAGCTAAAGATACAAACAACTCAAGTGTTGTCCATCAAGAGATGAAATGGTGGTCTATCCTTCTGATGGAATATTTACTGAGCCGAAGTAAAGAATGCATTCTGATACAAGCTATGGCATAGATGGACCTCAAAACCATTATACAAAGTGGAAAAATCTAAATGCAATAGAAAATATCTACAGTAGATAACTTCATAAACACAGAACGCAGATTCAAAGTAAGCAGGGGCTTCAGGGAAGAGACTGTGGAGTTATTGCTGACTGAGTACAGAAGTCCTATTTCGGGGGATAAAAAGTTTTCGAAATGGAGAGTAGTGATGGTTGAACAACATTGTCAATGTAATAATTGTACACTCAATGTGATTAAAATAAAAAATTAAAAGTTGTTCCTACTTTACCAAAGTAAATTTTTTAAATTAATGCACACTTATGAAAATAAAACTATCCAACCCTAAACCACCTAGAGGTAGAATGCCTCATTTTGGAAGGCAGTGACTGACAACCTAGGTAAAATCTCAGGCTGTGAAGTCTGAATAAGGTGTGACACTCAAATCCAGTAGTAAGTCACGTGACTTTGAACAAACATCTTATCCTTGCTGAACCTCAGTTTCCACATCTTTCATATGGGCATGATAATAGCACTGATTATAATACTCTACTGAATCCATGATCACAATAGTACTGAATCTTAGACTGATTGTTAGAACTAAGAGAATCAGTACACACACCCATTTATATGCAGTACGTGACACAGAGCAGGCCTTCAGCAGAGATCAGAGTCCTAAGTGAAGTTGGTATTGTTGTGTGCTGTGCTGTCAGAACTGTCTCTCCAGTGGGTTTTCAGTGGGAGTGAATTGCACAGGAGGAGATTGTCCATCTTCTCCGCTACAGCAACTGGTAGATTCGAACCATGTACCTTTGGGATTGCAGCTCAGCTGCTCACCATTAGGTCACCAGATCTGATTATTCTGAATGAAAAATTGGAAGAAGCCTCAACATGGAGATGTAAAGTGACCGTTTGTATTGTGAAGACGTTTTCCAAAATTGATTTTGGGGAGCAGGTGGAGAGGAGTGGTCTGTTCAATCTGTCAACTCCATTGTTTTGACTCTTCTTCAGGTCTTTGGATTCTTGAACTTTATTCTGTGGGCTGGAAATATATGGTTCGTGTTCAAGGAGACTGGCTGGCATTCCTCCGGGCGATACCTCTCAGACCCGATGGAGAAGCACTCAGGCAGCTATAATCAAGGTGGTTACAACCAAGACAGCTATGGCTCAAGTGGTGGGTACAGCCAGCAGGCCGGTTTGGGGCCAACCTCTGAAGAGTTTGGCCAACAGCCCAGTGGCCCCACTTCCTTTACCAACCAGATTTAACAAGCAGAGTTTCATTCTTCTCCAGATAGCCCTACCATCTCCCATTCCAGTGGCAGAATTTTAAAAGAGTACAAATCAGTTATTCATGCAGACAGTGTTGAATTTAAATCAGAGATCTGTAGCCCTCATTAAAGCAGAAAGGCCCAGGTTGTGATAAATGGTACTTAGAGGGGAGATGACACGAGAAGATACATTATTCATCATAGATGGCTAATTGGAGAGTACCTTGTTACATACACAGATACTTTTATGGTCCTTTTGTATGTGTGTTGTGATAGTAGAAACATTTTGTAGTCCAAAGTCTCTAGTATGTAATATGCATAAGTAAATTAAGTAGCACTGAGTTTTGCTCTTTGATGCAGAAGAAGTTTTAATGATTTCCCTGAGACAATTTGGTATTACAATGTGCATGTATTATTATTATTTCTGAGTTTTAGGTCCTATAGGACTGTGAGTCTCTAAGTATTTGTTGCAGGCAATTAAGCCATGTTTTGGTTTTGTTTTTCTAACTTGATGAATCAATACTCAAATGATTTCGTGCATGAATAAGCATTTGCCAAAAAAAAGAACATTTGAACTGTACTTATGAAAATTTTACAGTTTGCACCATGACTTTGTTAAATGGATGTTTAAAGAATTATGTTAAATACTTTGTATACTTTGTAAATTTGTCTCTCTGGTTTTACCCAAGTCTGAATGCATTGTAGCAAGCTGGACTGCCCCTCTTGATTAATAAGATACTTAAGTGTATACATTGTAACTGCTCAATATTTACTCTATTTACTTAATGAACTATTTATATACTTGTAACTTTCTATGGTGTTTGTGATGCTTACCCTCTGGGCTATGAATAATAAGACCCAGTATCTATATTGTGTTTATAAAATATCATTTTCTTAGAATAATGCAGATGCATTTATCAGATACTATATTTGAGAAGCTGTCCAAAAGTAAAGTATTACTTTAAAAAGATTATATATAAATTTTATGCTACCCACTAAACTTCTAGATATCATTTGTTTATAACATGAATATGTTACTCTATCCAATTTCAAATCACAGCTCATTGGACTAACTAATTAACTCTGATCTGAGCATTACTCATAACTTAAAAATGCCTTCCAGGTGCCAATCTTTATCCCAAAGAGGTGTTTCATAAACTATTGCCCCATAATGTACTCATTATCAAGACCATGTCAGTCTTGTTTTAGCTCACCTGAAACACCAGAGCCTAGCAGTAAGGACAAGCTGAGCATCTGTGTTTCCAGATATAAGTCATTTATAAACACATTGTGTGATCTGTGTTATTGGAAGCATAAAAAGAGCCTTGTGTCTTAGATGATATCTGTAACCAGTTTCTGGATCGTTTTGGACAAATCTGTATTGTGGTATCTATTTGACCTTAATAAAGTTATTACATACAATGTTAGCTGAATAATGGAGCATTACAACTAGAGCACAGTTGACTTTAATGACGATAAAAAGGATAAAGACGCAATATTTCTAATCTCTCGCTTTCTTCTTGTTTCACAAGCCAAGTATTGTTCATTCACTCATTCCATTGGAGGAGCTATTATGCACCATCACTGGGAAAGGACCGGGAACACAGCTATTAGCAAGCACAAAGCCAGATCCTATCCAAAAAAAGGTATATGCCATTCAAAGGGATAGACATTAAAATAATTGCACCACAATGAGGGTGTCTGGGATACAAAGAAGCACGATGTGCTGAAAGCACATCTCAGGGGGAGTTGAGGGAGCTATGAGTCTCTGGGTGGTGCAAGAGGTTAATGACCCAACTTCCAACTGAAAGGCCGGCCACCAGCACCTTGGAAGAAAGATCTGGCATATAATTCTGAAAAAAGCACCCGGTTACAAACATTTCTACGCTTATACAGATTAGTCTACATGAATCCTAATTGACTTGATGGCAACAGGGTTTTAATTTGTTTTGGTTTGATTTTTGAGGTGGCTTAACAATTGTGCTGTTAGCTCAAAAGCAGGGAGTTTGAATCTACCAGTTTTTCCATGGGAGAAAGATATGCAGACTCATCCCATGCAATTTACAGCCTCTGAAAACTTCCTACAGGGCCAGCTGTGAGTTGGTTCTGACTTGACAGTACACAATACTTTAGTCAAAGGGGTCCCTGGATGTAAAATGGGACAACCACAGTGGAAGGTGATCTGGTGCTTTCTCAAAAAGGTGGAAATAGAAATACCAATAGACCCAGCACTTCCACTACTGGAATATACCCTTAAAAAGCCAGTGCTGTGGGACTGGAGAGCATTATGTTAAGTGAACTAATGCAGTCCCATAAGGACAAATAAGATCATTATTGTAGAACATGTGTGATGAGGAGCCAAGGGAGGAGGGAGGGAGCAGAGAGGGGAACATGGGCAGGGGGAGAATTAATCATAGGGTCGCACAATTTGATGGGTGAAGGGAGGAGTGTGCAAAGAAAATGGGAAAGATCTAGTGTGAAAAACAGCATATACAAGCTTTATAAGTAAACTAGTATAAAATAAAAAATTTTACTTAAAAATTTAAAAGATGGGGAGATTTAATGTCAGCTGAATCTGGACTCTGGCTTCTTAGGGTGCAGCAAGTTTGAGGGCTCCGGGTACTTGTGATGTTCTTTTGGCCCCACGAGGGGTTGGCAAAGTGGATGCCAGATGAACTGCAGGGTCTAGGGCACGTAGTTTGCCAGCATTTGGGCGTGCCAGGCTGGTAAGACACTGAAGGGCCTGTCTTTCATTGTTTTTGTTCAGACATTCCTCTAGGTCGTATAGCCCTGGTGTACAAGTTGCCGTACAACGGTAACTTGTGGTTGCTGTGAGGCTGAACACTGTGACACTGATGTGTCAAATGCATTAATGGTTGGTTACCCAATGTGGACTGAGAGTAAGGTGGAGTTCCCCAATTAAAACAAGCTTGGAAGGAGGAATGGCATCCACCTCTGTAATAACTTGCCTCCGGAAACCCTATGAACCTGGAGAGAGGATGAAAGACACCCAAGCGTTGAGGACTCTCCTTCATAGGGTCGCTATGAGTCGCCTGCGACTCAACAGCACTTAACAACAACAACAACATTTTTAAAAAAGATACTTAAACTGTAAATAAAAGCCAGTGCTGCGACTCAAACAGATGTATGTACACTCATGTTTATTTCTGCATTATTCACAATAGCAAGGAGATGGAAGCAACCCAAGTGCCCAACAACAGACAAATGGATACAAAAAATATGATACATTCACACAATAGAATATTACACAGCATTGGAAAAACAATTAACTCATAACACATTACACAACATGGAGAAGCTTGGAGGACATTCTGTTCAGTAAAATATCTCAGTCACTAAAGGACAACTACTACATAAAACATCTGTTATAAAATAGAACAGACATGGAGGGGAAGAATGGAGGGAAATGAATATAGATAATGAACACTGCATTGGAACAGAGGAGGGGAAGAACTATCTGAAAGGAATATATGATTAGGCATGACAAAAATCTGAAACAAGGGGTGCATTACATACTAGAACAAGGGGAGGGAGCAGGGAGGGGAAGGGAGGGAAATGGGCAACAATGAATAAATACAGTTTTTTAAAAAGGAGGTCCCTGGATGGCCCAAATAGTTGAGTGCTGACTTCTAGCTGGAAGTTCGGTGGCTTGAGCCCATTCAGAGGTTTCTTGGAAGCTAGAACAGCAATCTGCTTCTGAAAGATCACAGCTTCAGAGACCCTGAAGAGCAGTTCTGCTCTCTATTTCCTGGGGCTGCCCTGAATCAGAGCACACGGGATGACAGCTAACAATACCAACAACAATGACGAGGGCAGCAGAGGACACCCTGGGAAAGCAACAAGTGACTCTATGGTCAGAAGTCTTTAGGAAGACCAGGAAGGCGTTCTCGGCAGAGAACAGCCTGGTCAACCTCTCCTGATGGGTGGAGGCATGGCTGCTGTGTGGTAGCTCTGCTGGCTTAGAGTAGGGAATTGCTTTGCCAGCCCAAAAGTGCAAAGTTTGACTCCACTGAGTGCTCTGAGACAAAGAGACGAGCAATCTCCTCCCGTGCAATTAACTGCCTCTGAAAATCCGCTGGAGAGTCGGCTGTCGGCCAGTTCTGACTTGATGGTACAGAACAATAAGAACAATGAACAAGGCAGCTTAGCAGAGACTTGGCTGCTGGTGTGTGCATGGGTGAAACTCTTCACAGAGGCCAAAATAAAGGAGTTCTGTCCTTATCCAATTTGGGAGGGTTGGAGTAGCAACCTTCAACCAGGATGACATTAGCATTTTCAAAGGATCGCAGTGACTGCAGCATAGACTGGACGGGAGGAGGACAAGAAGGTCTTGTTGGGGACAAAGCCCTACGCCTGGACTCCTATATGCATTTACAGTGGACTGGGGTCTGCTCCAGTTAGAGGGAGCCTGGCATGAGGCCACATCTTAACTGTCCATCTCTCCTCCACATACTTCCTCACTGTCCAGGAAGACAGAGTGGCTCCTGCTTCCTAAGCTGTCGTCAGTGCTCCACGGTAGAGAAACCCCCATGGCCAGTGGTGGTTTTTTTTTGTTTGGTTTTTTTTTGGTTTGTTTTTTTTTATTCTCTGGTCTTAGTAATTCCAAACCACAGCCAGGATGCTGATAAATGGAGAGTATCAACTTTCCACAGTCTACTGCAGTCTCACAAGAAAGAGCTGCTGTAATCCAATGGGGATTTCACTAAGCTGCTTCTGTTCCTTCTGATGTCAAGAAAAGAGCAGTGGACCTGGCTTTAAAAGGAGTAATCAGGTTAGCAGGAATACCATAGGTCAAACTGTCTGATGCACCTCATTTGGAATTGCAGCCTCACCACTCACTAGCTGTGTGTCACAGTGTGACTTTCTCTGCTTCAGCCTTTGTTTCCCTGGGAGATGGTTAAGGATACATGTAAAGAGGGTCCTCAGAGCTTCTGGGGTCTAATCAAGCCAAGTTTTTGTATTGTGGTTGCTTATGTG